GATAAAATCCGATACTCGTTTTTTGGCTGATATCGGACCGATATCCGATATTGATATCGGATCGGGACACCCCTACTCCTTACATCCAGAAAACACAACAAAGTCATATTTCTGTGGATTCAGGTCAGATACGTGACTTTGTGGGTAAAAACTCTCGACTGAAAAACTTTGCGTGCCTGCCGCACATTCTCACGGCAGGTGAAAAGTGTGCGTATATATACACACACTTTCACGCAGCGTTGGTTTTTATACATCACAACGTGGGCGTAGAACCTTGCGCACGCAACTTTTTTATGCGCACTGTTTATACATGAGGTCCCAGGTTACTAAGACCACAGTGGCCTCCATAATCCTTAAATTAAAGAACTTTGAGATGACCAGAACTCTTCCTAGACCTGGCCGTCCAGAAGAGCATTGGTGAGAGAGGCGAAGAAGAACCCAAAGATCACTGCAGCCCTCCACCAGTCGGGGCTTTATGGCAGAGTGAGAGTGGCCTGACAATACTGAGCAAAGGGTCTGAATACTTATGACCATGTGATATTTCAGTTTTTCTTTTTTGATAAATTTGCAAAAAAAATTCCGGGTTTCTCTTTCTGTCAAGATGGGGTGCTGAGTGTCCATTAATGAGAAACAAAATGAACTTTTTTGACTTTAGCAAATGGCTGCAATGAAAGAGTGAAAATTTTAAAGGGGTCTGAATACTTTCCGTACCCACTGTAAACAGTGAACTGAACAAACATGTCAGATTATTTAACTGGCTCTGATGCACAACAACTTGAGAATCAACGTGGGAACATGTAGCACCCACAGGTTGTTTACACACCTGTTTACTCCTGTAAACAGAGCACTTAGCGTCACGTCATGTGCTGAGCATGTGCGTCATAAAGCGTTCACACTGGAGTCTAAWGGATGTTACATTTACAATGTGAAGGTGCCAGTTTTGGGTAACAGAACATTTCGAATGAGTATGAMTACTTTTTAAAARTCTGGTATGGGTAWAGGGACATCACTAGTTTCTGATGTGTTTTTTATGCTGTTATTATTCAGCTGATTTCCTGACACAAGTAACACCATCCTTGTAGCCAACAAGTGTTAAATGAGTTGCTTCAGGAGAAATTAGCATAGCAGTGCCAAGAGTGTTTAACCTGCAAATGATTTATGTGCTACGGTTTTAACTCCAGGCCTACTGTCCTTGCTGTTTGAGGTCGCCACAGTGTGACCCAGACAGGGTTCTTCAGCCCGACTTATCCCGCCTCTTCTGCTTGGCTTTGCTTAAGCTACAAACCTCTAAGTTTGCCTTTTAGAGACAGGGAGATGTTGGTAGTTGGACCATGACTGTCCAGTCTGGGTACAGCGGTTTGCCTGGTAAAAAACCTCTGCAGGCATGACTTCTGTAATTTGTTTGCTAGGCCTATATTTATGAGCATGCTAATTGTAGGGAGCGCCATGGTGCTCTTATAGTTGGTGGACTTTGAACGTCTGCTTTTTTGCTGACGCTGTCTGGCTGCACTTCAGTCTACTCTGAAAACAGGGTCATTTTAACTACTCTGAAAGTTATTGTGTGAATGCTGAGTCAGCAGTCCCATTATTGTTTTCCTGTTTGAAGTTTCTCGAGTTTGTTTTTGCAACAAAACTACTTCTGCATATTTTGTACAATTTTGAGTATTTATGTATCAAAAGATTCAAATCGATTGGAAATAGTGTTTTGGATTTTTAGTATGTGTACCTTTTATAGTTTTTGAATTATTTACCCTTATTTACAAAAATGTACACAGAAACACATTGAGTTACTTCAGTTCCTTTAAAATCATTGTCCTCTTACTACTTCAGCATCTCTAGTTTTGTCTTCCTTTCCTCCATTGGTCTTTTAGCAACTTAAAGTTTTTTTTAATTAAGCTATGGCAACAGTATAATGCTAGTTTTAGTTTTTGCTAATTTTAGTGTTTGTTTAGGGTTTTGCAAGTATTTTTTTTTTTGTTGCTACTCTTTTGCTAATTCGTGCAGTCAGTTACAATTTACTGTAGCTATTTTTTGCTTTTAGTTAAGGTTTTGCATGTTGTTGCGCAACACTTTTGTTCTTTTTTTGCTACTATTTTCCGAAGTTTTACTTTTAGCTTTTGTTTTGCTAATTTAGCTACAGTTTTATTTATTTATGCTCTTAGAAATTGTTTAGCTAATAATTTTACTAATACTGTTTAAGACATTTGTTTGCTATCCTTTTGTTATATTGTGCTATCAGCCACAATTCTGTTAAGTTTTGCTTTCAGATTTGGTTTTACTTTTTTCCTTTTAGTTACTGTCTTGTTTTTATTCTTAGCTGTTGTGTTACTAATATTAGATTGAGGCTACTGTAATGATGAATTTGGTTTTGATCATTTTAGCTCTAGCTTTTGCTTTGTTAATTTTATTTATTTTCTGCTTATTTTAGGTTTTACAWTTCAGTTTCAGCTTCTGCAACAAATTGCAGCAAAGTCATTCAGCACTCAGCATTTTCACAATGCAGATTTCTCTAGTTTAGTTTCATTTTAAAAGCTCGACATGACTTCACTTCATGTTATTATGTCAGTCAGGTAAAAGTATCTTGAACTCACCACTTTCCCACCGTCAACGCTTGGCCTGTTCTTTGTCACACATTCTTTCCTCTTTTCTGTGCAGAGGCTAACTGACAGCTCCCCTCTCTAGCTGTGAGGGGGACCTTCATGCAGAAAGACACTATTGTGCTGTGCAGGATCCTGTTTCGCTCCTTCCTTGTAATTAAGAAGGGATTGCATGGACTGGGCGGAGGCAGAGAAGGCAAGGGAATGGGTTAGTAGGTAATTGGGCTAAAAAGCAAAGCGCTGACCTGCTTTGTGGCCCGGGACCTCCAGATCCCCCTCCCTGCCGCTCACAGAGCCTCCCTGCTGAGGTTTTGTTCAGTGTGTGTGGGCATCGAGAGTCGGTGGATGAAAAAAGGACAAGGGGACTAAGGGAGGCTGTGGTAATGTGTTTGTTTCTGTTCACTCAACGTGTGTATGGATGAAGGCTTCATTTTGATCTTGTGCCACAGTAACAAGAAACCCAGAAGAAGCTTTTATTAAAATCACGTCATTGTTGGTTGACTCATGATTAGGGTTTGCTTTGCTCAGTGAATCATGGGAAGTGTGGTCAGTAAAAACCATTTTAGATGTTAAATCACTATTTTTTTCAACCTGGCTGTAAATGAAAACAGAAGCTGAATGGAAATAAGGCACCAGGACTGCTTGTGCCTCCAGTTCAGAGCTTTAAAGTCAGTGCTGATTGGCAGGTTTATGTAAAGCATTTTCAACAGAAGCTTCAGATCAAATGAACATAAAACTGATGAGGATTTTTGCCTTTTATTCCAGCTGGAGTCCAGAGCCTGACGCCAGAGTCCTCACCATGGCTGACGTGTTAGAGAGCAGTGGAGCAGGAGCTGTTGGGTCTGGACCCGTAGGATCAACCAGCGTGGACTTGCAGAAACGCTGCGTCGCTCTCGAGATGCAGCTGCTCAGGTTCCGCCTGCAGGCCGGGAAAATTCGAGAACTACTGGCTGAAAAGGTGTGACTATTTTAACATTTCCAAAACAAAAAAAAAATCAATATTTATCACCTGCCAATGTGAAAGTAGGGCAATCATGTATGTATCTGTCTGTGTGGGGATGTAATAATTTGCCCAACTGTTCACAAAATACGGTATCTCCTGAACCAGTGCACACATTTAAATAAAACTCTTGGCAAGTAATCACTTTAGGTACACCGACAAGTGATTAACATTTGGAGTCGAAACAATTAAAGATTGCTCATAATAGCTTTATTTTTTCCTCCTTAACCACAGAAACAACTGCTGCCCGCTTTGCTTTTTTCAAAGAAAACAGGAGTAAAACATCCGAGGAGYAAAGGGGGAGGGGTTTCCACATGGRTAGTGTTGGGCAGCACTAATCTAAAAGTTAGCTGCGCAAGTTTTAAAGCGCTTGCGTTCAATAAAACTTAGCAGAAGCTAATTTTTAAACATAAAATTAACAGAATCCACCAGCGTATATTCCACTCTTGCATTATACTGCCAACGTTACTTTTACAAACGTTACTTTTACTCTACTTTTACAAAGTTGCACTTAATGCCACAGTTTGGGGAGGTGATTTGTTGAAACAGACTTTTGGCTGTGTGAARAATGTGTTTGCATGTTCAAACATGGTGTAGTTATGTTACAAAAATCATCAGATTTTTCTTTTTTTTTATTTGACAGGTTATAGCTGCATTTTGTAATTCACATTCACTTTCCATCGGCAGATTATCTTCTAAAGTGCTCTGATGGCTTCATCATAGTGAGAAAAAACATTGCAAAGACAAATATTTGTAAACTGTTGTGTTCTGTGCATCAAAAATGACAAATGATATATTTAACAGTTGGAGCAGATGGAGCTGTTTGGATGACTGTGTGTTTTTCTGAGTACAGACAGATTAGTTTATCCATCTTTTTTTGGTAAACACTTGGTTGACTCATTGTGCATCATCAAAAGTTGGTTACAGTTTCAGTTAAAAGGAATGTTTTAACATTGAACTCATCCCTTGTGCTGCTTTCCCTCGGGGTTTGGAAATGACCACAAACTGCTGACTAAAAGCTTGTAAAACTGCAGTTGTAATGCTACCAGACTGACTACGAGATACTTTGGAAAGTAATCAGCTGTCATCAGGAACAGGGAAATCTGTTTTGTCCTGTAGTTATAGCTCTACYGTTTGATTTATGAGACATATGTTTTTATCTTGAATCCAAAACTTTAGATTGCTTTTATCGTTGCAAATTTGTCTCCATATGGTATCTTTATTCCAGCACAGTGAAGTGGTTCATTCAGTCAGCAGGAAATTTACAATCCAAACATTGATAAGAAGAGGACTGTTACCTGCTGTGTCCTCTCTCAAGTATTGTAGGGCTGTGTATTGGCAAGAATTTTGCGATACGATACATATCATGAGAGAGGGGTCACGATACGATACATCCCGATATATCTCGATACTGTAAACAAGGCGATATATTGCGATATTTTTGGTCCAAAAATTCTATTACATAAAAACCTCTTACGGGGGGAAAAAAATGAAAAACCAAAATTCATTGTTTCAGAAAATTCTAGTAATACAGACATACTTTTGATACATTTAGCTGTGTTCTGCTTTGTATGCATTTTATTTTATTTGTTTCATATTTCATCCATGTTTTCAATTATTAGACTAAATTTGCCAATAAATAGTTTGAAAATATATATTTTTTGCAGCTTTTAGTTTTTAATATTAATTTACAATATGGTCACCAAACACTTAATAACAGCCTTTATGTTGTCATAAAGTTCAGTAAACAGATGATATGAAGCTGCTGCACAGAGTTTCTGGGATCAGCTGACCTGCATCCAGAACATGATTTGTAGAACTGTGGGTCGAACAGCAGGGCAGGTCCTGAAGAAAACCAGTTAACAGCAGGGCAGGTCCCGAAGAAAACCAGTTAAGAAATTGAGAAGCTAAACGAGTTAAACCGTTTTTGAAGCGAACACAGCAGGATAAACTTAAAGTATATGGACTTTGATATGATCATCAGCGGGACATTGAGAGCAACAGACAGTTTTATGTCACGGGGGGAGTGCCGAGCTCACTCGAGGTGATAGATGCATGCGTTATATGAGTAACGTGAAAGCTGACTACAGTTGGAAAAAAGAGTGCACAAGACACTTAAATTGTCTTAAAATACAGACATTCTGACAAATAAGTAACTGTTTGTAACCTTACCTCAGCTTAGAAGGCAGAGGGTGTCGGTCTTTTCRGCTCAGATTCAGCTATCGGAGCATGAAGCTAATGTTTACTCACAATGCTAATGCTACCCTTACTCTCTGGCGCTCAAGAGGTAGAAGAGCCAAACGGCTGGCTCACTGCTGCCAACTAGTGGTCAGAGGCTGAATTACAACAAAAGAATGAATGGCTGGCAGGAAAGTTGACATTTTAAACCTAAATAAAAAATCGATACAGGGCTTTAGAATATCGATACAGTATCGGAAAATGAAATATTGCGATGTTGCAGTGTATCAATATTTTCTTACACCCCTAAAGTATTGTAACTAGGGATGCWTGATAAATCAGTATTAACATTGGTATCGGCCGATACTGGTCATTTTTAAGAATATCGTGTTGGTCCAATAAGTAAAACCGGAACGATGGTAACGTCCAATACTGATTTCCCACTTTTTAGCTTTGTGTTTCTGTTTTGGGAAGGGAAATGGTTGGTCGAGTGGCATTTGTTTGAGCTTGATATGTCAGAGGTCTGGTCATTTTCTTATGGTATCAAAAAAAAAGACAAAAGTGTATTTGTGTTTATGTATATATAAATAATTTGTGTGTTTGTGCAATATTGGTAAATATCAGTTATCTGCCATAACAGTAATYATAATATAAGCTGAAAGTTTCATATCGGTGCATCCCTACTTGTAACACATTCACTATACTCCAACAAGATGTGAGACAACAGCTCTCTCATTACGTACTTTGAGACAGTCTTTTTTTTTCACAAACTGCTCACACTCCAGGAGAAACTGCGAGGGATAAGTCAACACATATCAGTTGTCCGCAGAGTTGTAATGTAACTAAGTACAAATATTTTGTTACTGTACTGAAGTAGAATTATTGGCTATCTGTATTTTACTTGAGTAATTATTTTTCAGCATACTTTTTACTTATTACATTTTTACACAATTATCTGTACTTTCTACTCACTACATTTTTTAAAAAGGTAAGAAGTAGAAAGTTGTTACTCCTATTTTATTCTGAGTTGTTATTACTTACAAAAATATATTATCCTGATAAATTGTGTCTCCTGGATAGAGTGAATTTAATTGTGGTTGGATGAGAAGTATACAGG